TGGGAGCAATGAGCTTCTAAAGTTAGCTTGTATTCATCCCGGTCTCAGAGTTTTTATGTTCTGAGTTCACAGGAGCTTAATCTGGTTAGTGCTGAGTAGAAAGGGGAAGGAAATGGGGTCAAATAGCTACTGAACGCATCCTAGTGGTCTCGGGGTCAATGGCCCTTCCTGATCCCTAATGCTCAATGGGCCTCCATGGCTGGATCCCAACAGTGATTGAGAAGCACCAGCTGATTGATCTAGAGAATGAATTCAGAGAAGAAAGTTTGAACTCAGATAATGATGGTATTATGTGAACAGGAAAGGGAAAGTTTGGGGTTACTTGAGTGGCTCACTTATGGTGTTCTGATTGATTTCACAGGTGGTGTTAATTCTGCCACCGAATTCTCACGTGGCAGCAACAGGTTCTCCTGCACCATTTAAAGGAATTTTGATGCCACCAACAGATCAACAGAAAAATCTTCCAGAAAACCCATGCTGACTGTCATGAAAGAACCCCACATGAGAAAGTACCAGAATCCAACTCTGATATTGATAGATATATCGATAGTATACCTATAGTCCAACTATGAATTGTATATAATAAATCCCAAGTCATGTTTTAATTTTTCCCAAGAATGCAGTGCCTAATTTCACTGGCTCTTTATCAGATTATTAGAAGTTAAATAAATAAATCATGTATGAATGAGGCAACAGCACTTGAAAGTTTTTCATTCGTCAGTAGGACTTTATATAAAGAGAATTAAATTGGAAAATCAGATTTGGCAGTAGAAAGGCAAAAAGATATTGCTGAAATGAGGCCGTCATGAAAAACACACATCCCTGCTTCCCTGGTACTCCTCCCACTTGTTTGTCTGTTTTCTCCCATCTTGGGGGACTCAAAGTGCTGTTTCCTTCAGGAAACTGAGATACATGGCTCCATGCTCCTTTCCTTCTCTTGTTTTCCTTCTCCCACAGAAAGTGCATTAGAATAGTGCAGTCAGTCCTTGAGTATAAATATACATGGAGTCAAAGTCATATTGTAAATCAGATTCAACTTACATTTTCTATCTATTTCTCTCTTTTCTTCCTTTTATCACCCTGTATCTTCCACTGGACAGAATTATATCTTAATCAAATTGATATCCAGTGCCCTATATGAAAAAGTGCAACATGTGGCATTTGCTAAATGGTCATTAAAACTATTTGTGTTTTTATTACAGAGCACAAATACATCAAATAAAATTAAAATTGGCTGGGTGCGGTGTCTCAGCCTGTAATCCCAGCACTTTGGGAGGCCA